ACTGATGAACAAAATAGATTCAGTGACATGGAAGCATGGATCAGACTGACAAATCTCAGAGGAAGGTGGGGGGGGAGAGATCAACCAAAAAATATATATGCATATATGCATAACCCAAGGACACATACCATGGTGTGGAGGGGGGTAATTTCAGGAGGGAGAGTGCAGAGGGACTGGGGAGGAGGGTTGGTCCAGGGTGGAAGAGGTCAATGTGGAGAAAAGGGGCCATCTATAATACTCTGAACAATTAAAAAAAAAAAAACTAAATAAATAAAAATATACTAAAAATCATTAAAAGAACTCTACTGTTGCATTAGAAAATATTAACTTAATGAAGAAAACAAGCAGTCAAGGAGGACTAAAGGAAAAAAAAAAACGTGAGGTATTAAAAAATAAAAATAGGGCCCTGGTTGGTGTGGTTCAGTGGGTTGGAGCATCCTCAGGTGCACTGAAATGTCTTGGGTTTGATTCCCCATCAGGGCACATGACCAGGTTTCAGGTTTGAGCCCCAGACCAGGCGAGTGCGGGGAGGGAACAGATCGATGTTTCTCTCACACATCTCTCTCTCTGCCTTCCTCTCTCTAAAAGCAAAAAAAAAAAAAAAGAGTGCACTCTCCCTCCTGAAATTACCCCCATGCCTTCCCCTTCCCTCTCTTCTTCCGCCACAAGCATGCATCTCCAAAACTCCATGAGGCTTTCAATCAGGGGAGTAATGGGCAAGGGCAGCTCAGCTCAGCTTGTTTGGGCTAACACCATGAACCTGTCTCCAAGGCCCCCTCTCTTCTTTCTTCCCATTGAGCTAAAGCAGCCCTGCCTTGGCTCCTTTCTTTCCTTTAACATTTCTAGAGAGGCAAAGCAGTCCAGCCTAGGCTCTCTCCTGTTGCTTCTTCTATGCTAAGCCCTCTCTTGTTTCACTGTCCTTAGCTTTAATTAAATATATCCTCAAAATCAAAAACACAAACAAAAAATAGAATGGCAGACATAAATCCAACTATACCAGTAAAAACAAATATGAATGAATTAAACTACCCAGTCAAAAGATAGAGATTGTCAGATTGTATTTTTTTACAAAAGATTCAACTATATGTTGTCTTCAGAAAACACACTTTAGACCAAAAGATATAAATACATTGAAAGTAGAGAATATAGCATGCAAACAGCAAAAATAAGAAAGCTAGAGTAGTTATACTAATATTAGACAAAATAGATGTTAAAATAAAAGTGTTAACTAGTGATAAAGGAGATTTTATAATGATAAAAGGATCAATCCATCAGGAAGATGTAACAATCAGAAATATATACCTAGTGCCCTAGCCGGGTTGCTCAGTTGCTTGGAGTATCTTCCCATACACCAAAAGGTTGCGGGTTCCATTCTCAGTCAGGGCACATACCAAGTTGTGGGTTTGGTACCTCATTGGGTCACATATGGGAGGCCACCTATCGATTCCCAAAATATATGAAACAAAAACTGACAGAATTAAAGGGAGTCACAGACAATTTAATACCCCACTTTCTGGGCAGAAGATAAACAAGGAAATGAAAGACATAGAACACCGCAAACTATCTATGCAACACTCTACCCAACATCAGTAGTATACTTTCAACTGCCCATGTAACATTCTCCAGAGAGAAATATGCTAAAACATAAAATAAGTCTCAGTAAATTTTAAAATATTAAATTCATACAAACTGTGATTCTCTGATCACAATAGAGTGACATTAGAGATAAAAACAGAAAAAATGAAAAATATACAAATATGTGTAAATTAAACAACACATTTCTAAATAACTATGAAGTCAAAGGAAAATATCACAAGGGAAATTAGAAAATACAAGTGGGAGTAGAGGGAACATACCTCAACATAATAAAGGCCATGTATGACAAACCTATAGCTAACATCATACTCAGTGGGGATGTCCACTTGCACCACTCTTATTCAACATAGTCCACAGCAAACAGACAAGAAAAAGAAAAAAGGCATCCAAATTGGAAAGGAAGAAGTTAAACTGCCATTATTTGCAGATCACATGATACTGTATATAGAGAACTCTAAATATTCTACCAAAAAATGACTGGAACTAATACGTGAATTCAGTAAAGTAGCAGGATATTAAATAAATATTCAGAAATTGGTTTCATTTTTATTTACCAATAATGAACTACCAGAAAAGAAAACTAAAAATAAAAATTTTTTAAAATCCCATTTACAATTGCACCAAAAAAATACCTAGGGCCCTGCTGGGAGTGCCTCAGTGGTTGAGCATCAACCTAGGATCCAGGAGATCACAGTTTGATTCCCAGTTGGAGCACATCCCCAGTTTGTGGGCTCAATCCTCAATAGGGGACATGCAGGATGCAGCCAATCAATGACTCTCGTCATTGATGTTTCTCTCTCCCTCTCCCTTCCTCTCTCTGAAATCAATAAAGATATATTTAAAAGACCAAAAACCTAGGAATAAATTTAACCAAGGAGGTAAAACACATGTAAAAGACATATAAGACACTAAAGAAAGAAATGTAGGGTGGAATGGGTCATTGAGGAGAAAAATGGACATTTGTAATATTTTAAACAAAAATTAAAAAATAATAAAATAAAATAAAAAGAAATTTAAGAAGATATAAATAGCCCAGCTGGCATGGCTCAGTGGTTGAGCATCAACCTATGAACCAGAAGGTCACAGTTTGAATCCCAGTAGGGGGCATGCAGGAGGCAGCCAGTGAATGACTCTCTCACCACTGATGTTTCCATCTCTCTCCCTCTCCCTTCCTCTCTCTGAAATCAACACAAACATTAAAATATATATATATATATAAATGGAAGCATATACTGTGCTTGTGAATAGGAAGAATTAATATTATTAAAATGTCCATACTACCCAAAGCAGTCTATAGACTCAATGCAATTCCTACTAAAATACCAATGACATTTTTCACAGAACTAGAACAAATAATCCAAATATTTAAATAGAACCACAAAAGGCCCTTAATAGCCAAAGTAATCTTGAGAAAGAAGAACAAAGTTGATGGTATGATACTACCTGATATGAAACTATACTACAAGGCTATAGTAATCAAAACAGCATGGTACTGGCATAAAAACAGGCATATAGATCAATGGAACAGAATAGAGAGCCCAGAAATAAACCCATACAGATATGGTCAATTAATATTTGATAAAGAAGGCAAGAATATATAATGGGGTATAGGTAATCTATTCAATAAATGGTGTTGGAAAAATTGGACAGATACAAGCAAAAAAAATGAAACTAGACCACCTTCTTGCACCATATACAAGAATAAACTCAAAATGGATTAAAGACAAATGTAAGATTCGAAACCATAAAATCCTAGAAGAAAACATAGGCAGTAAAATCTCTGACATTTCTCAGAGCAATAGTTTTTCTGATTTATCTCCTCAGGCAAAAGAAACAAAAGAAAAAATAAACAAATGGGAGTACATCAAACTAAAAAGGTTTTGCATAGCAAAGGACATCATCAACAAAATGAAAAGACAATCTACTGAATGGGAGAACATATTCACCAATGATACATCTGATAAGGGGTTAATATCCAAAATTTATAAAGAATTCATTCAACTCAACACCAAAAACAAACAAACAATCCAATTAGAAATTGGGCAGAGGTTCTGAATAGACACTTCTCCAAACAGGACATACAGATGGCCAAGAGACATATGAAAAGATGTTCAACATCACTAATCAGCAGAGAAATGCAAATTAAAACCACAATGAAGGGATTAAGCAGTACAAATTGGTAGTTGCAGAATAGCCTCAGAGATGCGGATTGCAGCATGAAGAATATAGTCAATAATGTCAATATAATGGAGTATGGGGCCAGGTGAGTGCTTGGGGTAGCAGGGGGACCATTCTGTAGAATGCATGGTTTTCTGACCACTTTGCTATACATCTGAAACTGGTGCAGAATGGTATTGAATGTAAACTGTGGCTGAAAATTTTTATAAATGAATAAACAAACGAACCACAATGAGATATCACCTCACACCTGTCAGAATGGCTATCATCAATAAAGCAACAAGTGTTGGCAAGGATGTGGAGAAAAAGGACCCCTCATGTCCTGTTGGTGGGAATGCAGACTGGTGCAACTACTATGGAAAAGAGTATGGAGAGTCCTTAAAAATATTAAAAATAGGATGCCTTATGACCCATTGATTCCACTTCTGGGTATATCCGAAGAAACCCAAAACACCAATTTGAAAGACTATATGCACTCCTATGTTCATTGCAGTGTTATTTACAATGGCCAAGATATGGAAGCAACCCAACTGCCCATCAAGAGACAAATGGATAAAAAAGAGGTGGTACATACACATATATAACGAAATGTTACTTGGCCATTAAGAATAATTAAATCTTACTATTTGTTATAGCATGGATGGACCTAGAGGGTATTATGCTAAGTGAAACAAGTCAGTCAGAGAGAGACAAATACTATATGATTTTCTTTAGATGTGGGTTCTAAAAAACAAAATAAACAAACAAAACAATCATAAACTCATAGGTACAGAAAACAGAATGATGGTTGCCAGAGGGGGTGGAAAAGGTGAAGGAATTAAGAAATACAAATGGGTAGTTACAAAATAGTCACAGGGATGTAAAGTACAGCAAAGAGAGTATAATTAATAATATTGTGATAACTATGTGTGGTGCCAGGTGGGTACTGGAAATATTGGGGAGAGACCACTTTGTAAAGCATGTGATTGTCAAACCACTATATTGTACACATGAAACTAATACAAAATAATATTCAATGTAAACTGTAATTGAAAAATAAAATTTAAAACAACAATAACAAGAAGTCTGCTCAGTCAGCCTGCCAGAACTTTCTATGCCCTGAACCCTTCCCTGCCAATTTCCCACTCCTTCCACTCTCTTTTCATTCTTTGCCTTTTCACTGCTCTCAAAGCTCATCCCCAAATTAAAGTGAGGTCCCTAGGAAGCCCAACCTTGCCCCATCCTACCTGGAATGCCGAGTGTCTGGGATGGCCCGGTCCAGGGGCAGCCGGTTACTGAGGTAAGCATTGTAACCAAAGTTCCGGAAGAGGTCCTTGGCCTTTTTCTGCTGGGCCTCAGAAAGATCCTCACCCCACTGTTTGAAAAGCGGTGAGTCTGGGAAGAGTTTCTCTCTGGGTTTGGGTTTCTTTGTCTCACTTGCCTTGACTTCCACTGCCTTTTGAACAGGATGTTCATCTTCCATCCCCTCCAGTGTGTTGTTCAAATTTTCTTGTTGCTTCATAACCAGTTTCATACTTTCTTCTGCAAATGAAGGGCAGGAGAGAAAACATTTCAGCCAATCCTTAGTTACCTGGGCATAGCGTTGCATTCAAATTTCATTGAAATGTTTTCCTCTCTAAATCCCCAAAAATGACAAACTCTTGTCCTAGAGGATGCCATGTCAAGGGAACTTGTCAGAGTCATGACAGGCTGTCCTGGCAAGGCATGTGATAGAACACACCTCCTTTTCAGCTCTATCAGAACTTGTCTATCCTGAGTCCACACCTTCAAATTTCCTCCAGGAACTATGATCTGAGAAATACGTTGACAGTAGCTAACGTCTTTCAGAACAAGGCCCGATAACCACTGACATAGAATCATATGTTGGGTTATTCTAAAATGCAAATACCCAGGCTTATCCCCAAATCAACTAAATCAGAATCTCAAGGTCAGATACGGGTAGGAGAAGATGCCAAAATCTGCAAATTTAACAAAATCAATGAGTAATTCTTTTGTACAATAATATTTGAGAAGCACTGCACTACACTATCAGTGGCTACTCCTTCCTTGTGTGGGCACCTTTCCTTGTATGAATTTCCTCTGGGCAGATGCAGCCCCAGGCCACAGCACATGGCTTTGTGAGCAGAACGTGATACTCCACCATAGGGATCCACTTCCTAACTGCGTGACCTTGGCCAGGATATTTCTCTTCTTGGTGCCATAGATTTACTAAGTACCTCAGAGAGCTGCTGTGATAACTATGTGGATTGATACCTGTGAAATGCTTATGACAGGGCCTGGCACACAATAAAATTTGGCTATTATTCAGTTTTCTCTGGTTGCTCTGTTTCCTCTGCTTGCGGAGTGGGGAGAGAGGCGAGGAAGGGTATTGAGAGGAATGGAAAACTTTATTTTTATTTTTATTTTTTAAATCTTTATTGATTTCAGAGAGAGGAAAGGAGAGGGAGGAAGAGAGATAGAAACATCAATGATGAGAGAGTCATTGATCGGCTGCCTCCTGCCCGCCCCCGACTGGGGATGAAGCCCGCAACCCGGGCATGTGCCCTGACCGGGAAATGAACCCTGATCGCCTGGATCCTAGGTCGACTCTCAACCACTGAGCCAGGCCCGGCCGGGCAGGAATGGAAAACTTTAAAAATTGTTATAAGAAATGGAGGTGAGAACTGATTCGTGAAACACAGAGCTCCGAAAGTCTAAGAGAAGGCTGCCTGAAGTGTGGCCGTGAATTTGAAGTGGCTCAGTTATGGGAATTTTTCCAGCAGTGCTCAGCCCTTGGGTGAAGGCATAAAGAAGATGGCCAGTTGATTTCACACAGTGTCGGGGGTTCTTAGGAAGGTGCAACAGAACAAGTGTGCAACGGAGTTGTGGATCATGGCAAGAGAAAAGTTGGAGAAAGGGTATTATTACAGAGAAAAACTGAGTGAGAACGCTGCAGTGGTGAGGTTGTGATCAGCAACACAGCATGAATTTGTCATTGCACAGGTGAGCAGTTCTGGATGATGACAAAGTCCAACATACAGCATAGAAGCGTGAGGCAGGACGGAGGTAATGGGCTGTATAAATGGGGACGCAGGGGTGAGGAATGGGTCATCCACAGGACATGGCAGTGGTCCAGGGTGATAGCAGGATTTGGGGCAGAGAAAAAGACTGTGAACAAGGAGCCGTTGCAAAGTCTGCAATGAGTGGGGAAACTTGTCAGGGAGGCCAATAGAAGAAACGCTGGAGGGCAGCCAGGTTTACACAATAAGGCAAAAAGCTATTACCATAGCTGTCTGACTGCTTTCTGCAATCGGATCAAACCTCCAGCCCATTAATATTGCCTAAGTCCAACATTGATTGACATTCCTCAGCAGCAAATCCCAAAATGGTTTAATTGAGATGCTCCACCAGAGGGACCCACTTAGTTCCCACTAATCTTCCCTTAAACCTATATTGAATTCCAACCAGACTGACTGGGTCACCTGTAGCCCATGCAGCAGATTCTTGCAAGTAAGAAGAATCGCCCCTTTTTTGGATGCTTGTAGCCGAGGGGCACCAGCTTGCCCAGGGCACCTCTCCTTGTGTGAGTTTCCCCTGGGCAGATGCAGCCCCAGGCCACAGCACATGGCTTTGTGAGCAGAATGTGGGCTAAATTTCAGCTACATTTACAGCCCCTTAAAGCCGAGCAGGAAAGTCCTGCAACTGGGAGGAGGACATGTTTGGAAGGTGGCCCAAGGGGAAAGAGAAGCAATTACAGAAGTGCTTAAGGAAAAAAATTTTTTTTCAAATTTGTAAAGAGGATTAAAGAAAATTCAGAAAGAAAAATAAATGGTGGGTCTTTCACAGAAGGCTCATGTGAGTACCCTGTATATTTGCTCAGGTAGAAAATCAAAATGAGAGCAGAATTTTTACAGCATTTCAAATCGAATGGGATTTTTATTCTAACTCTTCTGTACTAAGCATGTGGGGGTCGCAGGGCAGCCTTGAGTCCTCTGTTTCCTTCAGTTCCCTGTGCTCCTCTTTGGGGGATATCTGATTTTTCTCTTTTATTCATTGCTGTCAGAGATTGTTTAGACAATTTGAGGATGTAAGTGCAGAGTCCAGCAAGGGGAATAAACCATTCCCATGACTTATACTGAAACTTTCCAGGATCCAACGGGGACACACCCAATGAGAGGTCATCATTCTGGTGAGGGCTTTAAGACTCCCTGGGGAGGTTCCAAAAAATTGGTTCAGTCATCAAACCCTCCCCCAATAGGAATAGCATTATCGACATGTGGTTGCGTTTGTTTTATGTGAGAGTTTCTATGATTTGCCTAAACGTCCTTACTGACAGGATATCCCCTGGTCTTCTCGGAGGCAGTGAGCAACCAGGATGCTGCCTAACTGAACAGGCTTCATTTCAGGAAGCCCTTCAGGAAACAAGAGCATTTGTGATCTGGAAACAGGGTCCAGAAGACGTTTTGAAATTCACCTCAGGTGGTAGGGAGTCCCTGACACCACATCATTTTAAAGTGAATAAAATGTGAGGAGCATTAAAAATAACAAGAGGAGGAGGAACCGGTCACTGCACAGAAGGAAAGGGAAGTACACCCGGTGGCTCCAGGTGACTTGTGGAGGTAGAACATGTTCCCAGCTGAAGGGAAAACAGGCTGTAGGCAGAACTCCTGCTATTTTAAGGCCTGACGTGGCTGAGCCAGGGTTGGGTGAGAAAGTCTTGTGGTCTCTATGAAGCAGTGACAGGGCCCAGTCAGCTGTGGCTCAGTGGTTGAGCGTGGACCTATGAACCAAGAGATCGCGGTTCGATTCCCGGTCAGGGCACATGCCCGGGATGCGGGCTCCATCCCCAGTCAGGGGCGTGCAGGAGGCAGCTGATCAATGATGACTCTCTCCTCATTGATGTTTCTGTCTCTCTCTCTCTCTCCCCCCCTCCCTTCCTCTCTCTGAAATCAATAAAATCACATTAAAAAAGGAGTGACGGTGACTGCCCAGGTACACCGGCATCCTCTTAGTGAAGCTACACTGGGCATATTTGTACGTCAGTGTCCGTCCCAGCCGGATGTGCTCAAAGCCAGGGCTTCCAGAGCTACGATGCCATCTCTATGTCACCTACTCCTTTACCCCCTGTCTCTTCCCTCCAGGCCTGCCTGTCCTCTGTTCTCTTTTTCCTACCTTCCTTCATGTAGTTACTCATCCATTTAATTTCCATGTGCCAGACCCAGGGGATAAAGTGGAAGGACACTCTGTGAGCCATCCTTGAAAGCAGCCCTTATGAAATGCGCCTCCCAGAAAATTACACCACAATAAAAGGTGATGGGCCCTACGAGGGGAGATGTAGGAGGCCTGAGGTGCGCTCTGATGCCTCCCCGCCCCCGTCCCATCACTTGCCTTGTCTCTGTCTTGTCTCCATACATGTTCTTTCATTCTCTTGCCCTGGACTCTTGTTATTCGCCCCTTTTCTGTCCTCAAATCTTCAGTCCTCTACTGTCCCCCTTTTCTCTCTCCCTTTTCCTGATTTCCTCTCTTCCTTTTTGTCCTCATGTCTGTCCTTCCTTCTATCCCTCTGCCCTGCCCTGAACCCGGACAATGCTCAGTTTTCATTTGAAAAGACACTTTCCCCACCTCCAGCCCCACGTACATAACCCCACACATCTTCGCTGTCACATCCCTGCCCGTCCATTCGACCTCCCCTCAGGGGCACAAGCATTTGATCCCTGTGGTGACAAGGATGGGGGGGGGGGAACATGGCTGTTCCCCTCACTGGAATCAGACTCTGAGACACAAAACTCAGGGGTTAGAGCCAGAATCAAAAGCAAGCCCCAGAATTCACGTGAACAGGTTAAAATTTGGTGGACTTGAGGGCAGTAGGCTAAGTGAAATTAGTCAGACAGAGAAAGACAAATAGCACTGATTTCACTTATATGTGAATCTAAAAAAAAAAAATAAGGGAAACAAGCTCATAGATACAGAGAACAAATTGATAGTTGCCACAGGTGGGGGGAGGGGGGGCGAAATGGGCAAAAGGGGTCAAAAGGTACAAACTTCCATTTATAAAATAAGTAAGTCATGGGATGTAATGTACAGCATGGTGACTACAGTTAATAATACCGCTTTGTATATTTGAAGTTGCTAAGAGAGTAGATCTTAGAAGTTCTCATCACAAGGAAACAAATACTTGTAACTGTGTGGTGGTGGATGTTAACTAGACCTACGGTGATCATTTCACAGTAAATACAAGTATCAAATTATTACACTGTACACCCAAAACTAATATGATGTTATATAACTATTATACCTCAATAAAAGAAAGAAGTTAAAATATGACACACATCCATTTATAGAGCACTGTCTGCATGCATTTCACAACCGTGTGAGGTCAGGTAGGTATGGTCTCATCATCTCCATTTACAGGCCAAGGTCGGGGCTCTGCCTAGATATTCCTGAGCTTCCCTGGGAGTCTTCGTCTGAGCCTCAGTCTCCCTGCCTGCATGTATGTACTTGTGATCATGAGTGTGTGCAAGTGTACACAAACACACCACTCACATCAACACACCCTGCTTCCTCCCCTTAACTGTTTGCTCTGGTTCCCACTAACTCTCAATACTTACTGCCCATTTGGAGGCATAGAATTCAATGTCAGATGCTAAACTGAGCAACTGAGAGATGAAAACGTGACCTCTCACCCGTTTTTTCTCTACACCCGTTTCTTCTAAGTGTCTCTAAGCGCAGGCACATGTGCACCACTCCCATCCCCTCCGAGTTCATGTTATGAACTTACTCAGATGCTGCAAATCCAACTCTAAATGAGAGAGTTTCTTTTTCACTGTCCCGTTCCATTCAGATAGAGGCAAACGAAGCTCCTCTTGGACACTAGCCAGAAATAACTTTTGTAAAGTCACCTTGGTATAAAATACCAGGAAGAGACTATAGGCGATAAACAGAGTCAGCCCAATGCAGAGAACTTTGCAGGCATGTCTCCTGATCTTCATACTCAGTCTCTGGCTCTGCCACTCCCTGCGGGGCTGAGAGTTCCCTGCTCAGGCAAGCTAAGGATCAGAATCAGCAGAGCCTGGTCTTCCAGATGCATAGATAATACCCTGCCTGCTGAATCAGATGCTCTCCAACTGTGGAAGCTGGCACAAGCTGCTTTGCTTCTCCCTGAGCAGTGTCAGGTGTGTGGATCATGTCATGACAGCCACCCAATGACTGGCAGGTTACATGGGCACACCTCACACTATCTCAGAAGTCAAGTTCAACAAACTTGAGGAGAGCTCTTTCTGCTGGTTCCACCTGAAAGCAGGCATGTAAGCTGGAGGCGGCCCCTGAGGTGAGCCCCATGCAATGATCCTGTTTCACTGATCTTTGCCCCCTGATAGCCATCTGCACACCGCTCTGCATACTGAGATTCCACCCTGCTCCAGCTTCCACTAACTCTTTGGCTCCCACACCTCACACTCACTATATGTTTTAGACAAATCATCTAATTATCATCATTGTAGATTAAACACTTGAAATTGCTCTCCAGAGCCAAAAATTTCAAGTTCTCAGTCTAGTGTTGGGTCCTTCCATAATCATGTCTTCCACGTTGTCCCAGCTGCTGGCACTCCTTACTAGGTCCCCAAATACAGCATATGCAGGCAAGAGCTGAGGCAGACATTTAGATTAAAGTAAAGAAACGTGGCATTAGAAAAAGCAGGTAGAACAAAGAAAATAATAAAATAAAATGTAACAGTTTTTTTAATCAGTTGTTCCCATGTCCTCACCTACAAATTAGAATAAATTAAAAATGCATGATTACATCCATTTAACACTCAAAATGTAGTAGACCACTTATCTCTATTCCTCCCCACTAAAGACAACTAAAACCTCTGGACACTATATAGAAAACAAACGTATGAGGACTCTGAAAGGCAGAGAAAAGAGACAGACCACCTAGAAATCACAGGATCCAAGGAATGAAACAACACAGTGGTGAATTCCTTGGGTTTTCTTTTTGCCTAATATATCCTAGACTGAATGCTGAATAAGTTGTCAAACTGTAAGTGCCAACAGGCAAGATAATAAAAGTCCCCAAGAAAATCCTGTTCCCTCTGGCAAAAAAGGAAAGGGCAGCCTAGCAAGACAGAAAACATTCAGGTAACTGCCCTACTCTAGCCAAACACCACTGAAAGACCGGCTGCACCATGCCCATCCCACCAACAAAAGCCGTGTAGGGAGCCTCAATTTCCACACACCCTCAGCTATGACGAAGTGCCCCTTCCTTCATTCTGTCTAGGATGGTGGCCTAATAGGGAGCCATAATTTTTACCATTGCCCTCCAGGATGTCAGTAAGGAAACAGTGATGAAGTGGCCCTCCCTCTCTCAGGCAGTTGGTTTCAGCAGAGGCCTAGTGGGGAATGGGAACTTCCTTCCCCACCAGCAGTAGGTGTACTCTCCCCCTACACCAGATGTCAATGGAAGCAAAGGGGAAAACCTAGACTTCCACATGGCAGGAACAAGGTGGCATCTCCCTTTCCCCACCAAACAGTGTCAGGAAGTCTTGCTAAAACAGAAGACTTGATTAAGATCCAGAGTCTCATAACATAATTCTCAGAATGTCCAGGATGCAATAAAAAATAACCTGACATACCTAGAACAAGGAAAATCTCAACTCAAATGACACCAACACCAATATGACAAAGATGTTGGAACTATCTAATGAGGATTTTAAAGCAGCCATCATAAAAAAAAAAAAAAGTTTAAAAAAAAAAGCTTCGCCCAGCCAGGCGTGGCTCAGCGGTTGAGCGTCGACCTAGGATCCAGGCGATAGGGGTTCAATTCCCAGTCAGGGCACATGCCCAGTTGCGGGCTGCAGCCGATCAATGACTCTCTCATCATTGATGTTTCTATCTCTCTCTCTCCCCCTCCTTTCCTCTCTCTGAAATCAATAAAGATATTTTTTTTTTTAAAAAAGTTTTTTTTAAAAAAAAGCTTCAATAAGCAGTTTATCAACATGCTTATAATAAATGAAAAAAATAATGTCTCAGCAAAGAAATATAAAGCCTAAGGAAAGAAATAGGAACACAAACAAAAAAAGAACCAAATAGAAATTTTAGAACTAAAAATACAATAAATAAAATGTTTAAATCACTGGAGGAGCTTCAATAGCAGAATAAAAGAGATAGAGAAAAGAATCAGGGAACTTGATTCGAAAACAGGTAGGACAGTAGAAATTATCAGCCTGAACGACAGAGCAAGAACAGACTAAGCCCCAAGAACCTGAGCCTATAACAAAAGATTTAGTATTTCATCAGAGTCTCAGAAGGAAAGGAGAAATGTGAGACTAAACAAGAAATCAAAGAAATAAGTTGGCAAAAGACAAATCTACAGATTCAAAAAGCTGAGTGAACGGCAAATAGTATAAACCAAAGAAATCACTCCAAGACACATAATAATCAAACTTCTAATAACTAAAGACAAAGAAGAAAATTTGAAAACAGTGAGAGAGAAACAAGAGCTCACCTGTAGAGGGGAAAAAACTATTTGAATGACAGAGAGGAGATATTGGAGAAACCATGCCCTGGAGCAAGCTGAGAGTGGATGAGTTTGAGTGCACAAGGGGCTGGCCTTACATAGAAAAAAACAGCAAGAGCAGAAAAGTAACTCAAGCAAGCAAAAAAACAAAAATCGATTCTAACTTATTTGTCTCTATCTCCTGCTTTCTGTTTAGATTTCTGAAATCACAGAGACCAGAAAGAAATATCACATTTTCAAGTGATAAAAAAAAATGTCAATCCAGAGTCCTATATCCAACAAAAATATCCCTCAGTAGTGAAGGAAATAAAGCCATTCTCAGACAAAAGAAAATTAAGAGAGTTTGTTGTATACCTACTCTAAAAGAAAGCCTACAGAAAATTTTCAAAATGAACAAATGACAAAAAAAGGAATCTTGGAACATCCAGAAGAAGAAAGAACAACAGAAAAAGTAAAATTCTGACTAAATACAAAGACTTTCCTTCTCCTTTTGAGTTTTCTAAATTATATTTGATAGTTGACACAAAAAGCACAGCATTGTCTGATATGGTTCTCAAAGTATGTAGAAGAAATATTTAAGACAGTTGCATTATAAATGGGAGAGAATAAAGGGACTTAAAGGCAGATATGGATTCTACATTTTACCTGAACTAGTAAAATGCTGACGCTAGTAGACTGTGCTAAGATATATATGTATAGTGGTGATGGAATAATGCCGAAGTATTTTGATTGTAGCAGTAGTTGCACGAATCTACACCTGTGATAAAAAAGGCATAAAACTATACACAGTATCAACGTCAAATTTCTGGCTTTACTATCACACTATAGTTAAATAAAATATATCCATTGGGGAAAACTGGATGAAGGATACACAGCAGTGCTCTGTACTATTTTTGCAAAATTTTTCAAAATTTATTTCAAAATTAAAAGTTTTTTTTAAAGAAAGCATTATCCCACCCTGGCCAGCATGGCTCAGTGGTTAGAGTGTTAGCCCGTGTGCTGAAGGGTCTCGGGTTTGATTCCTGGTCAAGGCCACATACCTTGGTTGCAGGTTCACTCCCCACCCCTGGTTGGGGCATGTGTGGGAGGCACCCAATCGATCTGTCTCTCTCACGTTGATGTTCNCCCTGGTTGGGGCATGTGTGGGAGGCACCCAATCGATGTGTCTCTCTCACGTCAATGTTTCTCTCTCTCTCTCCCTCTCTCCCTCCTTTCTACTCTCTCTGAAAAGCAATAGAAAAAATATCCTCAGGTGAGGATTAACAAACAAAAAGAAGCATTATCCATAAACAAACTTATGGCTAAAGTAGGTCACTTTATTAAAAAAAAAAATAGTGATCACTTGTGTGGGCAACAGGGGTTGGGAAACTGAGGGACAGAGGTGGGAAGTAGATTGACTTTTCACTGCACAAGTTTTTATATATTTTAAATGTATCATATTACATCAATTATCTACAAGGTGTCGCAAAAACTGTATACACACACTTTGAATAACTATAAAGGCAGTGTTTATTAAAATACATTCATTTTCAAAATTTAGCTATCAGCTGTTAAAATGTGTATACATTTTTTGGGACACCTTATATTTAAAATAAATATAATAATTTAATAAAATTTTGCATCATAATCTCAGAAGTTTACTCAACTGGAGATACTATCAAGTGTTTTTTTCCCTGTAGTCTTCACTTGCTCCAAAGGAGCCATGTGAATGTCTGTGGGGATCCTAAGCGCCCTCCCATGCACCCATTCTCTGTTCACAATGCTGGGGCAGTGGTCCTCAAATATTCAAATTTATAAAAATCACCTGGGTAGTTTGGTAAAAATGCAGATGTCCAGGTCCCAAGCCTACAGATTCTAATTCCATAGGTCTAATATGGGACCTGGGCATCTGCATTTTAACAAATGCCCCGTATGAATAAGCTTACACCTCTGCACCAGAAAGCTCACAGATCCATGGAAAGAATGGACTGATATACAATTAGAGTGAAGGTGATTAGAAAACTATGTTGGAGGCCCCAACATGAACTGAAGGCCACAGAAGATCAAGTGACCATTCAGCCTAGGTGGGTGGCATCTTGAAAAGTATGCAATTTTCAGTCCCTCCAGCAGAAGGAGCAAGTATAAGGAAGGTTATGGGAACAAGAAAGTACAAATCATCTTACTTCGGACAAATAGTTCAGGGTGATCAGAATGCAGAGATGGGGACTGGCATAAAAATAACATCTGTTCACTTCATTTATGTTTAAAATAGTAAAAAAATAATAATAAGCTGAGTTAAATGTACAACCACAGGGGAATGGTTAAATAACTTATGATACATTGATGGCTAGCTAAATTATGGTACCTCTGCTCCATAGAATACAGAATATTATGCACAGCAAGGAGAAACTGTTGGAGAAAGTATGGACTTTCGACTAAGATGATGATTCTGTTACTGGTAGCTAGGCAAACTCAAGAAAGTTATTTCACCTCATT